AGATAATAAGGTAATTTGGTGTTCAATCAGACGTTAATTGAACACATGCAAACATGAGTCATTTCATACTTGTTAGTGACAAAATGATTCGAGTTTCCAAGGTCAACCACTTCCCTTGATCAATCTATGATGGGGAAGAGATCTTTGTTGGTCTTTCCTTACCATTTATTGAATTGTGTCCCTTGATTCATAAGTCATCACACAATGAGATTGTGTTGATTGATGGCTTGCGAATCCAGCCTGCCCCTCATTTGACCTATTTGCTGATAAGGAGAGACAAGGTGGACAAACATCCTCTGAAAATACTCTGGTTTGTGCTCTGTTTGTCCTTTGTTGCTGCAGAAAAGAACCAATATCAGTGGTCGGTAGGCCACTTTTACTAGACAGTAACCCCCTATTAGTGGCCTGCCGGCTACTACTTCTGAGTTGCTGGCCACTTTTTTAACCAGGCAATGTCCTTTTTCTAACAGAGCAGAGCTTCTGCTGAGGTGGAAAAACAGTGCAATTTTTTAACTGTGTAACAGAGGCATTCTGATAGCAAAACGGAGAGCATTATGGAGTGGAAATTCATATCCATGCATGAGCCATTTCTCGATTCTCGAGATCCGTCAAAGTGATATTGTAATAGAAGTATGTTCTACTTAAAGTAGTGAGCTTGTAACTAATTAGTTAGAATACCTAGTTAGTTTTGTGTTGCATTTATTTAATTAGCTAAAGTAGTTAGTTAATTTGTTGTTGTAATAATTAGTTAATTAGCTAGTATAGTTAATTTATTTTATTTAGTTTGTAATAGTTAGTTAATTAGGTAATTAATTAGCTAGTCCATTCATTTGGACCCTCTTATGCAAGGGCCAATATGTAATATTTGTGTATGTCTTCCAACCCCACATCCTTTTTTTTGCTGATAAAAAAAAAAAAGGTAGTTTAGAACATTATATATTTCTTTTAACATTTCCCATGTTTGCATTCATTTGTCTTACATGCATCAAGGCTCAGTTCATCATTCTAACAAAACATTGCCGTTTATTACTTTGTTAAATATGTATTTAGACCACATGCTATCAAATTGATTCGCATATCATAATTAGCAGCCGAGCTTATTAATTTCATTATCGTATGTGTTGCATTAGTCATATTGCATTAGTTAGGATCATGTATGTTTTCGAACTCTTTTATTTTTTTTGGCTCGCCTCGAAGTATGAGGTGAGCATTTTTGTGCTTTAGCATATTGTATAAGTGTGATTCTTGCCATATCTAGCATGATTACTATGAGGCTAAATGCTTAACTTGATAAATTGCTTGAATGCATGTGGATGAAGGCTAATTGCTTGAATTGGAATAATTTGAGTAATGTGCATGCGATTACTTTTTCAAGTGGTACATATTTGAAACAATTTTCAAACAAATATGAATCGAAGTGTTCCAATTTTTTACAAATTAGTCTATACTTGTGTGCAACACATAGTAATGTTAGTCTAATAATCAGAATAAGAGCATATAATGAAAATAAGAATCACATCATGATTAGTAGAGGCCGATCTTTGATCGGGCGAGTATGGTGCTCAATTCATGACCTTCCCCTCTCGTATGTAAGTTCCCGAGCCGAGACAATCTTGGTGATGACGGACACGTGGCCTTTGGCACGAGTCATGGTTTTCTAAATTTTTTAAAAATATTTAGGTGGCCACTCTATATCTGGCAAAGCAGTTTATTTTTGATATTTTGATTCAAAATTGATTTTCCAAAAGATTTTCCAGATTTGGACTCTTTGGTGTTTATCTATTTCATATTGCACTTGTAAGATTAGATTCAAAACTACAAGAGCCCAAACTGTAGGGCTAGTTGTATTCGAAAGGAGCACGAAAAGCAAGCTACAGGTCCCTGTATTTCTAATTGCATCAATTTTGCCCTTATAATTTGGTTTTTGGCTCTATGTGGTCCAATAATTAACAGTCGTTGGCTTTTTGGACGGAAACCCATGGGTGCCTTGCACGCATGAGATGAAACCACCCTTCTCTCTCCAAAGCCATCAATGGCAGTCTTTCAAAAGCCTTCAATGGCAGTCTTTCAAAAGCCCATTGTTGAACATTTTCTTTGGTTGGTAAGATTGTTTTGGTGTAAGGGATCAGTCCCACTATTCTATTGTATTCTTCATTATATATTTGCATATTTTGTATCTAATAAAATTTAAATTCCCACAAAACAAAACCCACCTTCCAAAATAAATATTATTCACAATATATTCAATTTTCACTTCCAACATATCTTTCAAACCCAATCATTCACTTGTAGTCATACTGAATTTAGCTTTAACAAAACATATAATTTTCTTTCCCTTTCTTTCTTCACCTCATGAATCTTCGAAAGTGTTGATATAATTACTAGAAAACAGAAGGAACCTAAAACCCTAAAACAAATCCAAAAAATAGTCATTTGAATACAAATGCTAACCGATTTGAACTTCTTTTACTTTTATTTTATTTTTAACAAACAATCAAATAATCATAGCTAAAATCATACATACATACATACATACAGACCCATATATGAAACTAAACTATAATCCCAAATCAAACACAAAAAGCAAAGACCTTGAATAACAATCTCAATCTACAGACAATATATAGTAGATATAATCTAGGTATACAAAGGAAACAAACCAGGTCACATTGGGCTAATCTCAGAGAACCACCTAGGTATAACAGAAGATATATAACCGGTCTCTTTATTGTTGTTATTATTGTTATTGATGTCCTTCATATCTACAGGTACAGAGGCTCCTTTTTCTTTGTATTCTCTCGGCCTCTTCACAGCTCTACTTTCCTCCACCATCATCTCTCAGAAACAGAGACTCTGTTTCCGGTGAAACTGAATTCGGTTTCAGATTTGGATTCATCACGAAATTTGTTGAATGACTGAAACAAAGGGAAATTTATATATTTTCCCAACAAGATAGAAGTAGAGAACACATCAGTATGAATACCCACACCTACAAAAGTGTAGATAGGGTTGTTGAGGAAGCCAAAGAAGGATTGAGGGATTTGGGGGGAGTAGATAAGTTGGAAGATGATGCATCAGCGGCCAACACAGAGTTGGAGAGTGGCGGTGACGGGGTTATCGTGGAAACGATTACTGGGTCGCCACTTGATGTTGAGGCCAATGATGAGGCGGTGGAGAAGGGAACGATGGATGGCTGTGATTTCAGAGATCTAGAAGTTAACGAGGAAGGGAGAGCGAGTGACAAGAGTGTGGATTTGATCGGTGAAGAAGGTTACGTCGTGGGTGTTGTTAGGTAACTGGTAGTCAACAATGTCGAAATTTGTGGTTGTTGCTTAGGAGTGTAAAAATGGCTCACAGCCCGTGGCGCGGCTTGAGATGGGCCCGACCCGTTTAGACCCGCTTCGGCCCAGGCCCGAGCCCAGCCCAAGCTCTTGGGCTAAGGCCTGAGCCATTGTTTTGAAGCCCGGTCCGACCCATGGACCTCGCCCATGGCCCACTTAGGGCCCGGCTCGCCCAAGGCCTTGTGTATTTTTTAATGGAAAATAATAAAATTTTGGTAGAAAAAAATGAAAAAAAATTGGTTAGGCCCCGCCTAAGCCCGACCCAAGCTCGAGGCCAAGCCCAAGCCCATTGGGTCGGTCCAAGGCTTAGTCCACTGGCCCCCGGCCCAAGACTCGAATACCCCTAGGCTTGGGCTTAATTTTTTGGCCCATGGCCCTGCTCGGGCCAGCCTGAATTTTAGCCGGAGCCCACGATCAGATTTACACCCCTATTGCTGCTGCCATTGATGGCTTTGGAGAGAGAAGGGTTTGATTTAGATAGAGAGAAAGAGAGAGAGGGGGAAAGGAAGAATAAAAAGGAAATAAATCAGAGAAAGAGAGGAGAGAGAAAGAGAAAGAGAGAGAAAAAAAACCTTCCCCTGGTGGTTTCATTTGCGGATTGATTGGTTTCATCCCGTTCATGCAAGGCACGCATGGGTTTTTGTCTAAAAAGCCAACGATTGTTAATTATTGGACCACATAGAACCAAAAACCAAATTGTAGGGGCGAAATTGATGCAATTAGAAATGCAGAGACCAAAATGAAACCGCGGGTAAACTGTAAGGACTATTACTGTAATTTTTTCCTTTTATCTTTGATGGGTAGATATTATTTTTACAAATTCAAATTTTTTTTGACATTTATTTTTGTCAAGTTAGTTTATATTTTATCAAATTGATGACTTTATAGTTGAAATTGAGCAATTGTATCTTCAATTATCCTTATTTAGAACAAGATTTAAAAAATAGAGTCAAATGTATCACAATTAAAAAATCAAAAGCCAAAGTGATATAAACCCTAAATCGGTAGTGATCCAAACCCCTACTTGAGGGTGACCCCCAACACCCCTACATACACGTGGAGGACAGTGAAAGGTAGACAAAAAAAAAAAAAAATATAAACCAATCATCGTTCAGATGGTGGGGTCACCCCCACTAGGGTCTCACTCTTTTCCCAACTCCAAGCTATAGATTGTTAATGTAATTCAGCCTATACCCTATTTTTAAGTTAAATATAATTAAGTTCATCTCGAATACTTCGGGTATGTTTGGTTTGTGTTTGAGAGATATGTTTTAGAGATAAAAAGTACGAAAACATGTTTGGTTTAGTTTTTTTTAAAAGATGTTTTGGAAAATTATTTTGAGATAGAGTTTTGGACGTGGGGGACAGTGAAAGGTAGACAAAAAAAAAAAATATAAACCAATCATCGTTCAGCAAGGATGGTGGGGTCACCCCCACTAGGGTTTCACTCTTTTCCCAACTCCAAACTATAGATTGTTAATGTAATTCGGCCTATACCCTATTTTTAAGTTAAATATAATTAAGTTCATCTCGAATACTTCATCTTTTAAAAAATAAGAAAAAAATTGATGAAAAAAATAATTTTGATAAAAATGAGTTAGAGATAATTTTTATTTAAATTTAAATTGAATTTAAAAAAAAAATGGAGATGCTGTAATGCTTCCAACATTAATCGTCTGAGCATAGAAGGGCTACAAAATCAGAGGCAGAGCTTCCTCTCTCTCTCTCTCTGTAGCTCTGTAGTAGCATCGATACTTCAAGTTCAAACAACGACAGCGACAAATCGCAGACCCCACAAATCTCTGCATAAACCACCCCCCCTTCTCGGTCGCTCTCCCTCACTCCACCTCTTTCTCTTTCAGCAATGCCAGCTTCCTCCTCAGGTAAACAAACCCCAATAACCTAACTTTTTCACTCTCTCTCCTACTCAATTTTCAAAATTCATCTCTCTCTCTCTCTCTACTTTCCCATTTCCACAGAGACTCGCACCAAGTGGAGGAAGAAGAAGCGAAAGAGAGACCCCCAAATCACTCGACGACCCAAGCCCCAAGACGACGACCTCGACGATGATGACGAAGAAAACGAAGACGACGACGACGACCTCGACCAACAACAACAACAACCCGAATTCGAAGAAGACCCTCAATCGGGTCCCACCGATTCGGCTCCGATTGCCCGCGAGAACGAGGTCTTATCGGATGGCGGGGTTCGAATCTCCCACTTCCCTCCCGTGATCAAGCACACAGTCAATCGCCCCCACTCCTCTGTGCTTGCGATTGTGGCCCTGGAGAAGGCGATTCAGTGTGGGGAGGGCAAGAACCTGCAGAACGGCGTCGTATTGGAGAACGTATCGCATGGACAGCTCCAGGCTCTGTCGACCGTGCCGGCGGATAGTCCGGCGTCGGCCGGTGATCAGGGGTCTTCTTCCACGGCCGCGTATGTGATTACGCCGCCTCCGGTTATGGAGGGTCGAGGGGTTGTGAAGCGTTTTGGGGCTAATCGAGTTCATGTTGTTCCAATGCACGCAGGTGCTTGCTTTATCTCTCTCTCTTTCTCTCTCTCTCTCTCTCTATATATATATATATATATTTTTTCCCTATGCCCTAATCTGTTCTGTTTAGGTTGATATTTGAACTGTTATGTCTCATACTGTTCTCTGTTTATGTACACATGCGTATATGTATTCGTAAAAATTTGCTCAAATTATTATTTTTATATGTTTGTCTCTTTCATTGTGCCATATTATTACTTTGTGAGTTTCAGGTTTTGGGTTTATTGATTTGGAGTTTCCCCTTGGCACATTGCTCTCACTCTCCATGTGTGTTAATAATACAGTCTGTTTAGATCGAGTGATAAGAAATGGAGAGAAAGAGAAATCTTTTATCATTTTTGGTTTATAAATTAGGTGAGAAATGGAGAGAAAGTGAACTCTTTTATTTTATAGGTTTCATTGGTCATCAAAAGTAGTGAGATTTGGTAGGAAGCAAAATCATTGGTTGTGTATTTTCATAATATTGAAATTGCCCTGTTAAAATACGTAAGAAAAAGAAATCCCACCCATATTACCATATCACATACTTTGCTTTCACATAGAGTTCATTTTGTTTCTTCTCTCACCTGGATGAGAGACCACAATCATTTCTTGCCCATTATCTTTTATTTTTTGCTATGCTGTTGTGTTTCAGTCTGGCTTTGTTGATCTTGTGCTAACAATATCCACATTGCTCTATTTCTCATCATCTCATATTAATTTGCTTTTAGTTTTTCTCATTTGGTTTTGAGCTTCTTTGGAGAGCAGATTGGTTTTCGCCCAGTACTGTGCATAGATTAGAGAGACAAGTGGTGCCACATTTTTTCTCTGGGAAGTCAGCTGAACATAGGCCAGAAAAATACATGGAATGTCGGAACTGGATTGTTGCCAAGTACATGGAGAATCCAGAGATGAGATTGTCAGTTGATGATTTCCGAGAATTGGTAGCTGGCACTGATATTGATGATTTAACTCGAATTGTTCGGTTTCTTGATCATTGGGGAATCATTAATTACTGTGCTTTTGCTCCCAATCGTGAGCATCGTAGTGATGGTTCGTATTTGAAGGAAGATTCAAATGGTGAGGTTCATGTGCCATCAGCTGCTTTGAAGTCCATTGATAGCTTAATTCGGTTTGACAAGCCCAAATGTAGGCACAAGGCAGCAGATGTTTATCCGTCATTGTCATGTCGTGATGGTGAGGAGTCTGATTTAGACAGCAGAATCCGAGAGCGATTATCTGAGAATCGATGCAATTGTTGTTCCCGTCCCCTGCCCATTGTCTATTATCAATCACAGAAGGAGGTGAGTAGCATACTTTTTTCTAGCCACTTGTTATTATGTTAATTTGAAGAGCAAACAGGTACTCGAAATCTCTGGATTTGGTCTTTAAGATTAATCTGAACTTTTAAATAGTTATACTTAATAATAATAACCCTTATATGGAACAAATATATCTTCTAATTGTGGCTGGTTATATTATGGGGAGTGATGAACTGAACTTAGTGGATTATCTTTGAGGCAATTTAGTTATCTTGTGAGAATTAAATGCCTTCCTCATATTTTAGGCAGCATTTGAGGATACAAATCCATGATTCGAGTTGGTCCCATTAAAGATATGGAGGAGCCAACAATACTGATGGTATGAAATCAGTTTTACGACTTGTGAAATGTCTGTTCCAATTTTTCTATGTTAGTCGTGGTGATGGAAGTCATTTTTCTGTAAGGATCCCACGCTCAATGATGGATTTGTGCATAAAGTTATATGGTAAAACATGATAGGGTAATACCAGTTCTGTGAGTGTACAAATGCTTTCAAAAATGTCATCAACCAGTCTAATCCTACCTATGATTGCAATGGATTATTGTTTCTATATTTGTTGCAAATAAGTGATTACTCTTGAGAACATGGAAAATAATGAGCAACTTCTTACTTTAAACTGCTTTCTTTAGGATGCTCTTTTTTTTTTTTTTGGTTTAGATTTGAGAACTGTGGATTTAGTGGAGGCGATAATCTTGAATGAATGAATACTTACAATTTCAAAAATGATGCAAAATTAAGCAAATGTAATACTTTTTTTAGAAGTTACTCCGAAGGTGGTTCCTAGCTTATTGGTTAAGTGGGGCTCATTTTTATGTACTTAATTAATTATAGTAACTGGTTCAAATTTGCCATCAGAAAAGGTGCAACGTGTGCATGTCCATATTGTAGCCTTTTGTAAGCAGCCTTGGCCAAACACATCCACAGCTTCTTTTAATAATTATTTCAAAAGTACCTTTAAACAAGTTCAACAGCCCCAAGTGTGCACCAAATCCAGTATTGAGAAGAGAAAGGCTTCAAAATGTGGTTGCATTTCATGTTTTGTACTCTATAAATAGATTTTTGTTAGTATAAGCTGATGCCTTCAGAATTTAGAGCCGAAAAAGGTGGAAGCTTTATTGTTTTTTTTTAAACTGTTATTGCTGCCCAATTTGATATTTTCATAAGCATACAGGGAAAATCTATGGCTGTGAATACATGTGCATATGTCTTCCTAAATATTGGATGAATGCTTATTGTTATTGACAGTCTGAGACTCTGGGCATTTTAAAGTTTTTGTTGCTCTATGTTCAATCCCATGATTTGATTTTTTGATTCACAGAGGAATATTCTGTTTGGAAATTTGTAAGTTTTGATGACTAAAAATTTGATCTATATTGTACGTTGGAAGGTGTGAAATGGATTGTTATGCTAGGTTTGAAGTCTGAACGATGCTTTTACATTATCTCTGATTTTACTTCTACGGCTGATCAATATCTTCTTCAATAGGTTGATATACTACTATGCTTGGATTGCTTCCATGATGGAAGATATGTTATTGGTCACTCAAGCATGGACTTTATAAGGGTTGATTCTACAAAAGATTATGGTGACCTGGATGGGGAAAGTTGGACAGATCAGGAAACCTTACTGCTGCTTGAAGCAGTGGAAATCTACAATGATAATTGGAATGAAATAGCGGAGTATGTTGGTACCAAGTCAAAAGCGCAATGCATCCTTCATTTTGTCCGTCTTCCAATGCAGGATGGCCAACTGGAAAATATTGAAGTTCCAATTGTGTCCCTCTCCTCGAATTTGTCAAACAAAGGTGATTCTAGAAGATCACTTCCAAATTCAAATGGAGATTCAGCAGGTGTAATTATGCACTTAATATTTTTCATTTACAAGACACTGATGCCATTGTAACTTTTCTTATTTAAATTTTTTGTTCTTTGCTTCAGGACCTGACCCTGATACTGAGAGTAGTCCTTTTGCAAATTCTGCTAATCCAGTTATGGCTCTGGTAGGTGGATTTGTTAAATGCTGTGCTTTACATGGTTATTGCATCAAGGCATAGAATATGATGGTTGAAGTTCTTTTTTATTTTTACTTTTTATTATTATTGTTATTTTTTGATCAGTAAGTATGAAGTATATTAAATTAAGAGGCACCAAGGGGGTGCCACCCATACACAACACTAAAAGAACAAAGAGCAAAACTCATATACATCAATCAATTCAATGTTCTACAAAATTCAAAGATTGATTCGAGGATGACTTGACTTCCCCCAAGAACCACTAATACAAAATGGATATAATTCTCCTCTTTAAAACAAAAATGAAAGTCTCAACTCCATCAAAACTTTTCAAAATAAAGCGAGAGGACCCAGTTGCCAAGGCACCCTCCTCTTATCTATCCTGGCTTCCCTCTTAAGAGTGCAAAAGATCCAGACACTTGAAGGGAAGACCCACAAGACTGCCATCAATATTATGTACTTCACCAATCAGAATCAGAGCCGACTTTCCAAGATTTACCTTCATGACTGAAATAGCTCATATTTCACATCTAATAACTCATATTTACAATTATTTTTTAACTTTTACATATGTATCATATCTTTTTCTACTTACGAAACTGAATCTTACAATTGACAGTTTGAAAAAAGTGAATTTCAATTCATGATTCATATCTTGATTTCAATAACTATGATCTCTTCTTTTCTTTTTTCAGCTTTATCTGTGTTAGTGTCTTTACCTTTTCAATTAAATTTACTCCTTCAGATCTGATTGTTAGAAAATTCCACTAGGTTGCCTTTTTAGCCTCTGCCATCGGACCTAGAGTTGCTGCAGCCTGTGCCCATGCATCCTTGGCAGCACTGTCTGAGGATTCTCAGAAGGCATCTGGGCATGCTAATCAGTGAGCGCCTTCTTCACTTTTTTCTCATGAAACACTAATGTTCTCTCCTTCATTTGCGCTTGTTTATATCAACATAATTTCTTTGGCAAATAAGCACATAATATAAGATTCTCAGAATGCATAAGTTTACAGCTTCATTTTCCTAGCCATTCTTAAGAGAGTTTTCTTTGCTGCCAATTTTGGTGAGCAAATTTTTTGTAATGATTAGGAATTGTAGAGGAATATTTCATTGGTCACTGAAAGTTTTTATTGGAAATGCTACATTTATGAGAGATGTAGTTTTCAAAACTTGAAAGTTTCTTTTTGGGTCTATGAAGGATGAATTTGGAGAGCAATAGTGAAGGCAATTCTCATGGCGAAAAAACAAGTTCAAGTCAGCAAAAAGGTGAATTTTTTAATTTTGCTTGCCCTGATCAAGTTTATCTCCCCCTTTCATGGATCTTGTAAATTAAATTTTCAGAAGATAACTCTGAAGCACATGGTCAATGGAGTCAAAATGGAGAGGCTGTGCCATTATCTGCTGAAAAGGTGAGAGCTGCTGCCAATGCTGGTCTAGCTGCTGCGGCAACAAAGGCAAAACTGTTTTCAGATCACGAAGAACGTGAAATTCAAAGGCTATCTGCTAATATTATAAATCATCAGGTATATTTGTAAGATAATCTTATTTTGTGCTAGCTTTAAATAGTTATTACCTCACTCTTTTTCCAATGACCTAAAGTTTTAAACGAGTAGTTGATTTTTCTTTAGGTTCCATATGTAAGAAACATGAGAGATTTTTTTCTTTTCTTTTCTTTTCTTTTTTTTTTTTTGGGGGGGGGGGGGTAATATATGGTTAATTAAAAAAAAAAAAACCCCAAGGTTTGAGCCTTGAGTTTTTAAACCCTAAACCCTAACAAAATAAACCTTGAGTTTTTAATTTTATAAATTTAAAACTCTAATCTTTTGATTTGTTTTCAATCTAAGCTATTTGCCTATTCTTGTCAAGTAAAATTGATGAAAAAAATAGGTATTTTAGTCATTAACTCGATGAAATGAGTATTTTAGACATTTTATGTATACTTACATTGACTTTAATGACTAAAATTCTATTTTTTTGACGGTTTTACTTAATGTAACTGATTTAGATTGAAAACAAATCAAAAGATTAGGTTTTAAATTGACAAAATTAAAAACTCAAGGTTTATTTTGTTACAAGGCTAAAACCTTGGAAATTTTTTTGTTTGTAATTGTCCCTTTTGTTTTTAGGTGTTTCATGTATGAAGGAAGACAAATTTTAGGGAGGCCTCAACTGCCATGCCCAGCATAAAAAAGGATGTTGCAACATGAAACCTATTGTATTTGGAAATTCATATTTATTAGTATATACGTTAAATTCTTTTGTTTAACCACACTTTTTTTAACTGTTTTTCATCTTAATCTAGGTTTTCCTTTTTCATCCTGCTTGCTAAAATGGTTGAATTGTTGACCAACAAACTGGCCACCCTTCTGGTTTGGCTTTGGGCACAAAAAATACATTGAAGTTGCATTTGATGATATATATAGTACTTCTTCATAATTTGTTGACTTACTTAAGTTAGGAGGTCAATGTGGAATACTGGATTTGAAAACCTCTTTCACTTGGAGGTCATGGTATTTTTGGCTTAGCTGCCCAAAGTTCCATTGCATTGTTTACAATATTCTCTTGGTTGGGCTGGAAACAATGTTTCTTATTCAGGACTTAACTACTCCTTGATGAAATGATGATTTCTCTTAATGTCTATTTTCCTGCTACTTTTGTTTCTTTGGTTGATGTACAGTTGAAGAGATTAGAGTTAAAGCTGAAGCAATTTGCAGAGGTGGAAACCTTGTTAATGAAAGAATGCGAACAAGTGGAGAAGGCAAAGCAGAGGATTGCTGCCGAGCGGACCCACATGATATCAGCACAGTTCAGGCCACCTGCGGTGATGTCATCTACGAGCCTACCTGCCACCACTCCCACCATGGGTGCTGGTCCCGCCATTGTTAATAGCTCTGCCAATAACAGGCAACAAGTCATGACCGGTTCACCCTCACAGCCATTCATTTCCGGGTATGGAAATAATCAACAAATCCATCCCCAATTCATGCCACATCAGCAAATGTATGGAATTGGGCCGCGGGTTCCGTTCTCGGGTTTGCAACAGTCCTCGTCGGCAGCTCCCAATGTTATGTTCAATGCTGCGGCAAATGCTCAGCCTGCTCTCAGTAATCCGATGTTGAGGCCTGTATCGGGGACTAGTTCTGGTTTAGGTTGAAAATTAGGGAAAAGAAATTCAGTATTGGAGTTCTGTGGTTTAATTAAATTAAGAATCCTCTCCTTTTCCTACCTTGAAGAAGGGGGAGAAAAAAGGATTAATGTGGATGAGCCGTGAACTTATTATCTGCGTCGCATTCTTAAAGTATGTTTCCCATATGGAACGAGTGACCCAGGGTAATACAGATGCGTCCAAGGTACGTACCAATTTTTCAGAGGCTCAATTATTTGGTTGGTTCATGTAGCATGCTCTTAATTTTTCTTTGTATTTTCACAATCAATAGTAAAGATGAGGAAGAACTTGATTAGTATACTAATTGTTGCTAGCAATGTACTGCTTTTTGGATCAAAGTATACATGGTTTGCTCGCCCAACCAACTGTCATGCCAGTTTGAACTAGTAAACTAAATGTTGAATACATGGTTGAACTAGGACACTGAACAATGAATATAGGTTCAACAGTGATGTCCGAAAAATCAGGAGTTTTTGCGGTGTTATAATTAAGTGTTTAGTTAAGAATCATCGTAGTTATATTACTAATTATGATCTCAATCCAACCTTTATGTGGGGAGATCTGCATAGGGGCTTTCAGTATCTAAGTAGGGTTATAAAACCATCCTTTGCGCAGTATGTGTGGTTTAGAGATTTTGACTAGGAAAGCACAGTCTGAGAGATCGTGTGAGAGGTTATTAATCGAACAAACAAGTTCCTGATAAAGAGATTGTTGAAACATTGATTAAAAATGTTATAATCAATGCAAAATTGCTCTCTATCAAGTAGTATAGATGTCCATCCTGCAAAATGAAGCGATCAAAACACAAGTGAATTAGTCATAGATTGATTTATGCTATGTTTGGGTCTTAGAATTTGTTTAGTTTCTACTATTCATTAATTTTTTCATTTCCTTCTCTGTTTCATGCACAAACCCCTCTACAAAAAAATTATTTAAACATTATTAGGAGACTTCAAACTACTTTTAAGTGAAAAAACAAAAAACACTAATAAAATAACTCAACATATATTGAGTTCTTGTATGGTTCCCATTTTGTTGGTGTACTGCTACTGAATTTAAAGAGTGGGATTGAGAGCAAATGTAAGCTCAATGATAGTATCATCTGTGAACCTAGTTAAAACAAAAATTAATTTCATAATTTTAATTGAGTGAAGAAAATATATAAATTTAAAAAACTGTTGATCAAAAATCTAACTGATGTGATGATGAAGATGAGCTGACCAGTTCCCAAAGATCTTCCCATTGAGACAATGAGACTAGGTGTGATGGCGGTGCACCTAGTCAGTCTTGTTCACCAATTTTTTCATCTTAAGATCCAAGAAACCCTAAAAAATTTCATCATCCAATTTATTCATTAAAAATCTTGAATTTAATTTAATTGCATGAAAGAAGTTATGCCTAGACAATGTGAGAGAGCTGAGTAAAGAAAAAGGTTATGCTGGTCGACAAATTATTATAAGAGATATTAATGACTAAGTGCAAATAATCTAAGAGATTTAAGAGGAAAGAAGAAAACATTTATTGTTAGTCAAATCTCAATGGGCATTTGTTGTTAGATCAAGAAATTAGTTACATAAAAGATGAGATCGAATTTGATCATATGGTATAACTAAGGCAGTAGAACGGCAAATGGGCAAAACTTTATTCTATACTTTTGGAGCATTACATATTTGTACTTCAAAACTAATTATTATATATAATGTCTCTTTATGTTCTTCAATCACTTAATATAAAATTATGAGTAATGTTAGGGATCATGAAAAAAATATCATGAAATGCATCATGAAGATTTTTCATCCTTTGATTAGTGTGGTGTTTTATTGTATGTGTAATCTAAAGGTGGAAAATTTTTCATGATCATTTTCATGACATTTTTTTCATGATATAGATTCTGCATTCTCTATCAATCACAACGTATCAGAGTATCACGTGATTATATTTTATGGGCACCCAATAGTCACTCGCAAATGAGTCCCAACGGAAATTGATTTTCGAGTTTGGGGATAATGTAGGTTTGAATAGAGTGTAGAAAATAATGAAAAGTGAATGTGACAAAAAATGAAGGAAAAATAACATGAAATTTTTTGTGAGAAAATTATAATAGCTGGCTACTTCCACAATATTAAAAATTATATATTTTTAGCTTGTTTGTTTGTTTGTTTGTTTGTGTTTTTTTTTTTTAAAAAAAAAATGAAAGCTAAGTTATTATAATGATATGAATTGTACAAAAAAAAAAAAAAAATATTCTTGCATTTTTTCACCACTCTACCACACTTGTCTACCACTTTCAACCCCACCTACCCCAAATCCAATTAATTACATACACATGGAAAAGTTCATGATCTTAATAATTAAAGTTTGTAAAATTTATCAATAATCTGATTTTTTTTTTCAAAATATACACTGATTTATTTCTAATTTTCGTAGAAGTATGCAACCATGATGAAGACAGGCAACATCTCCAGCTTCGCACCTCCCCCACACCCACTTAATTTAAAACACACACACACACACACACACACACAAACAAACATGAAGTTTAGCTCTCACCAAAAGTATATAAATAAAAAAATAAATCATTATATTTAATTTCAATTTCATCATTATGTCTGTTCAAATTAGAAGTTAATATTTTTTAGGATATTTGTCAGTCTCTTAAAATATACTTAAAAACAAAAAATTAGATAGAAGGATCAAATTAAAATTAGAGTATAGAACCAAATTATTCAATTTAAAATAATAGAAATCAAAATAAAGTTTGAATCAAATAATAAAAATGAAAAGTGTAATTTACTTGAGAACATCATAAGGAATAAAATTAAACGAACCAGCTTCTCTCATATAGAAACAAGTCGATTGAGATTACTAGTCTTTTCATGAGTTTCATTGATAATTTAAATAATTTATTTTACAAATTGAATAAATCATCGATAAAAATATTGATTCAAAAATTAAATTAATGTGACAATTACCAATTTGATCCAATAATTTTTTTTTTAAAAAAATTTAAATTTGATGAAATTCTATGACTATGATTATTAAATTAATTTTTTTTAATGAATAATCTATACATATGAATATAAAAAATAAATAACTTAAATTATCAAAACAGAATCTATAATAGGTCCACGGACCCAACTGGATCGAATCCGAGTTTTCCAATGAGAAAGTAGCTGAATCCAAAATACAAAAATAACAAAATAAATTTGAAAAGGTAATTCGAAAAAAAGTCAAATTATTTGTGCATGATGTCTTCTCAATTATTTTCTATGTTATAAAAAAATAAAAAGAAAAGCTTTCAGCATATGGAAATACTAAAAATGTATCATTATGATATTATTATTATTATTATATTATTGTCCCCAATTTGTGTCGTGTTCGAACCAGTAAAAGAACGCCAGCTCAGATTGATATATGAAACATTGTCTCAATGATTGTCACATATAAACCTAACAAAAAGAAAATATGATTTAAATGTCTCCCAATATGCCTGCAAAATAAATAATATAAAAATGCAAATAAATTTTATTTTATTTTAATCAAAATCGAGTTCTTCCCAGCCTTGTATCCATGTGCAACTCAACATATTCAGTAGCTAAAGAAACAAAGAGAAAGAAGGCAATTCTTGTTTGGGGACAACATAGGTAAAAAGTTAAAAAAATTACTATAAATTATCATATCACTCTCTATTTTTTTATATATTTCTTTTGTAAAAGTTAAAAAATTACTAAAATAGCCTGTTCGTGAGAATTTTGAAAGATACAAATTAGGGGCGGAATGAGAATTTTATTGGCAGAGTCAAAAAAAGAATAATTTTTGTTTTTTCATTATATATACAAATGAACACATATATATACAATATGATAGATAAATTACAGATACAGATAAAAAAAATTCAAATACCAAAGAATGAATATATTGGGAGCTATTTTTTATATAAAATAATATATATTTTTAAAGTGCTATGACAAACAGTATTTTTAACAGAAGTAGGGGCCATGACTTCCTATAGCTTTTTTCTAGTTTATTTCCTGACACAAATATAAATTTAATTATGACACGGCATCATAAATAAACAAATTTAGTATTGAATTTATCATTATTTTTATGTCTCTAGGTACATAGCAAGATGTTATTTTCTTTCATTAATTCTTTAATAATTATTTCTAAACAAGAGAACCAATCATAATAATGCAAAATGTTGATAAAAATCTGATGACATATAACATTTCTCATCCGTTTAATAGAGAATTAGTTTAAGAGCATCTATTTCACACAACACTTTCTCTCCGTTTACATGCTATTTTTAGTTTAGATATTAACTTTCAAATAAAAATCACATGGTTTGGAAATCAATTTTCATTAATTTGAAAATCAAGATCCAAAGATATAGACCAACCATAAGTTTATTTTGAAAGTTAATTTCTTAATTGTACAAATTTTGCTCAGAAATTGATATCTGAACCAAAAAATGTATAAATCGGTAGAAAGTGAGTGGTGTATGAAAAGAGAATTAAACTTTTCAAAAGTTCCTCGACATGTTTAATGCACATGTAATTCTATCTAATTAAATATAAAGAAAAAAAAATGTAAAATAGAGTTACCTCTCCAAAAGTATTGAAGAAGGAGGATTGTATTTCCGACTCCATCCATGCCATAAAAATTATTATGAAAAATCATCAATATTCAGGGCCAAGGGTTTTTTTGAAATGAGATTAATGATTTATTGTTCATATGGTAAAAGCAGAAAACAATTTTGGAAGAGGGAATTAGAGAGGTGGTTGATGATAAAAGCCAAACACAGATCAAAGTGTGGTATCTATGTATTATATGTTCAAACACAGATCAAATATATATATATATATATATTGATGATAGTTGCTTCCTCAAGTAACTACTTCTTGGTGCCGTAGGCTTTGTTATTTTATTTTCTGTTTTCTGTTTCAAAATAGAAATTCTAAGTTGGTTATCACTAATATTCTTTTTAAATATTTTTTTTTTTATTTTTTTAATAAACGAGTTATAACGGAAGCAATCATATTATACTTAGCACTTTTTTTTAGATTTTATTTATTAATATAATATTTATATAATAGGCCTCATCACTCATATATATTGTCAATATTGTACTAAAAATTAATTGACATGTCGTATGATAAGATAAGAAAGTAAATGGGTAAATATCCATTGTAGCATTGTTAGATAGTTTCCATTCCATTCATTTCATACTATTGAGAAAAACGGTGAACCATTTGAATTTGACAAAAAATCTAGAAACATAGAAAAATTGGTTACAGATACAAACATTTCACACGGATTGAGTTAGAGCATCTTCAATGAT